CAAAAAGAAATCAGGGGTAGTCGCAACTGTCAACAAAGGAAAGCAACTGATAAAGATATATGCAGAAGATCATCGTCAGTCTTCTTCACAGTACTCTCAGAAACAGACCAGTCAATCCAACCAATGGTCGTCTCAGGAGGGATCACCTCGAACAACGGGTAAAAGAATATCCCTGTTAGAGTGATAGAAAGTACTTTATTCCTTCAAAGATGAAGCTGTACCTAAAATATTCAAAAGCTTGATTAAGAAACCAAAATTCAAACTTCCTGATCCAAAGAAACCCGAAGAGGTGGATAAGAGGAATGAACCAAATTATTGCCCATACCACTAGTTTCTTGGACACACTATAGACAAATGCTTCGTCTTTAAAGACTGGCTCGAGATAAACCTCAAGGAAGAGAATACAACAATCTCAAAGGAGTATTTGAGAGAACCTGAAAAAGTTTCCATAAACATGATTTTAGCTAAGTCAATCTCCCCGATTGATCCATATGTTAGAACAGATGGATGGAGTACAACTTGGGATGAACTCAAGAGTGTCCTCAATTAGATACAGGATTCATCGAAAAAAGCTTCTACAAATACCAAGAAGGATGGAATGAGGTATGGAGCAGATCATCCAAGAAGATACTGAACAAGCTACAGTCTGCATCAAATGCATCAAAACAAGCCTCCATTCAGAGTCTGCAACATACCGAGCCTGAGATGAAGATTTTGCAAGAAAATTCGTCATCGTCAAGGACAAAGAACAAGAAAAAGAAGAGCATCGCAACCGGTAGGATAGGGGCTGCCTCTACTAGACTGGTTGTCTCGAATTTGGGGAGGAAAATCCTCGAACCCTTGACTTTGTATGATTATCTTTTTGTTCCTCCGGGGTCTTATGAATATAATGGTTGTGATTTCAGCTACATTTTGACTATTTCTAGTAATAACGTGACTGATTATGACCAAGCTAGTTGCAATCTCGATCCCCAAAATGATCCTCAAATCGTACTTGAGTCTGTTGAACTCGTTGTCAAATCCAAAGAAGACGTCAACGATATCGCTTACAACAGCACTGATAACGAAGTGCTAACTCTTGAGCATCATGGTGCACCGTTTGCCATCAACTTAGACCTCTCTGATGAAGAGGAAAAGACACCGAAAGATTCAACAATGATATCTCAAGAAGAAGAAGTAGAAGAAGAAGTGATATCTCAAGAAGAAGAAGTCACAAAAGTCAACTTAAGGAGCAGAAAAGTGTTACCAAGCTCCAACGCTCCAACAAACAAAGGAAAACAGATAATGACTCAAGAAGAGGTACCCCCACCTCTGCCAGTGGAAGAACCAAATAATTATGACAAAATTGGAGGATCGTACAAAGTAGACTACAACGTGCTAGCTCATCTTAGGAAGTTGCCTACCCGACTAAGCATCTACGACGCTGTGATCCTGTCAAAGGAGATGAGAGAATCTCTGGTTACAGCTTTGTTGGATCCAGAAATTTGCTTAGCTCAGTTGGCTAGCACATCCTTAGATGAAGTTTTCTCGTTGGGAGAACAGTCAGGGGTAACCTTCATAGGTGAAGACTTGTTGCTCAGTACCGCCGACCACAATTGTCCACTCTAAATCTCTGTCAACATTGACAGATTTGTGTTATCCAGAGTTTTAGTGGATCCTAGAGCATCTCTTAAGTTGATGATTCTATGAACATTAGCATATTTGAACTTCGACGTTCAGGAGCTCATCCCCGATAAGATGATGTTGAGAGGATTCAACTAAAAGGGAGAAAGAACCCTTGGATCAATTTCATTACTTATGAAGGTCGGAGAAGTCGTAACAACCGTTAAATTTCATATCATCAACGCCGAGACCTCTTTTAATGCTCTATTGGGTCGACCATGGATTCATGA